ATTAATGGGACAGACAATCGGTCCGTTACTACGGAAGATAAGTTCATGGAAACAGATGAGATGTTTCTTCTAGATGACAGTAGCCAGGGAAATTTGCAAGATAGCAACATTGCACAACATAACACAATAAATTTAGGTGTGTAAAATAAATTAGTGACTAACCTGTACCATGTATGTTGGTTTAAACAGTTCTATTTTAGTGTGCCTGATTAATCACCAGGTTCAGTTGAAAATTTTCTGTTCCTTTTAAAGGGACCTAGAGAAACCTGAGCTTGCATGAATTTCATATTTAATAATTATTTGCCAAAGGCAAGGTGATTATTCCCAATAATCACTGTGCCTGAGGATTGTTTTGGGCATAATTTCAATGATTATTTGAAAAAAAAAATTTAAAAATTTTTTCATCATATTTATACATCACAAAAAACTTCAATGACCGCCAAAAATCGAGCTTGAATAAAAAAAAGGAGAGCTGCTTGCTTCATTCGACAGCAATAATCACCAATATAATTATACTAAATTTGTTCATTATTTTTTGCATTTAATATATAGAGACAAGCACAGTCGATAAGATTGTTACGGACACCTCAGAGCACAGTCAATTCACAAATTCAGGTTGGTAAAACAATTACATGAACATGTTACCAATGACTCTGGACAATTGTTGACTCTGGACAGTTCAAATAACAATTATGCAATTATTAATCGTACTTTCCACCAGGGGCGTCGGAAAGTCGATAATTGGGGGCATATATTCACAAATTCATGTTCTGCATCATTAATTTATTTTGAAAGCAATTGCTTTTACAGTCTGTGAACATGAATATATGAATACCTGCCCCCCCCCCCAATTATTGACTTTCTGGCACCTCTGCCAGGCCCCTCAGACATTTCTCATATTTTATACTTTTTGACAATGCTATATTACAAAACAAATATAAAACTTTTTCCTGTATTGATATACAGTTATATATAGGGATGACCCGATACCAGAAAAAAGCCGATTCGTCGATCCGATATATCGGAGGCGATATAAAAAAATAATCAGCCGATTAATCTGCTATGGCGGATATGTTCTGTGTAAAAGTTGAATAAAAGTTTAAAACCCAGTACAAGTGCTGAATAACGTTTTTTTGACAACTTTTAATACTTGTGTATGCACCACAAATTGACTTACTAGTTTTAGTGTGTTCCAGAACATATTCATATTGGACAGTTATCTGTCGCTGTATGAGTCAAATGAATCAAACGTAAAAATATAAATGTATAATTGGAATTCACTCAACATCTGTAGACTAGATGTCTATACTGTCTAGACAACTCGACTTTTTCGAGCTTTTAATTTCTTTAAAGGCTTTAATGTTTATTTAAACAGTAAAATTGGCTAAATTTTTTTCAGTGATTTTGTGTTTAATTAAGATACAATGATAAGATTTTAATTAACTTACAAGTGATCTTATTCCCTCAAGTAATGCAATATGGGATTAAACACGTGCAACAAAAGTGTCAAAAACAAGATGGAGTGTAGATTACTAGATTATAGTTATTTTTCTTAAAAAAACCGAAAAAATTGTGAATATCTGCAAATAGCCGATTATAAAAAATAATTGGCCGATTACCGATTATTTTGAAAACGCCAAATATCGGCCGATTAATCGGCTCATCACTAGTTATATAAACAATTGTTATTACAATTTTTTTTATTTAAATTAATTTATAGAGACAATAACAGATTGCACGGTGGACAATGTTATTTTTGAAGAAGAAACTACATTGGCATTATTCAAACGAATAATTCACCGATTTCGCAACATGATGTCTGCAGAAACTGTGAGAAACTTTAAAAAGTTGAATCAACTAAAGAAAAGCAGTGCTTTACGACAAGGTCTCCAAGCTAAGCCGAGAAAAAGCAAAAAAGTCAGATGGTCGTGTAACAACAGCAAGTATGATAAAAGACCAATTTCCAAACTCTGCTACACACTTTTCGCAAAAGGCACTGGCATATAAAGGAGATAATGTGTTTGATCCCTCCCTATTCACACATTGAATTAAACTTTATTATGATGGCTTACAATATTCCAACTTCCAATGACAACAACAAAAAAGAGAGGTCCAGAACATTGGCAGAAGTTTTACGAGCATCGGGGGAAGAAATGCCAAGTCCTGAAAAGTTGACCCAAGAAATGTATGACATGGTAAAGACAACAAATTTAAGAAACAATGTGTGTGTGCCTGTTAACGAAGTGGGTCAAAGTACAGAAAAACCCAGCAAATCAGCAAAGACAGCAAGCCAGAGGTACAGTCTATACTATTATGTCAACCTATTGTAGAGCCATTAGAATAATAAATAATATGCGTATAGAATATGTAATCAAGCTGCGAGAGAATAAAAGGCGATAATCAGAGAGACACTGAAGCAGAACGAACAAACTCGTGTTGAAGTAGAACTGATTAAGGAGTGGTCTACACACTGATAAAATAACTTGATAAAGTAAAACGAAAGAAATATACGTTATCAACGTTGCACTTTACATTATATGGGAAAGGTGGATCTTCAATGATCAAATGCTCTGGTATAGTCTTCAGTGACTTGAGCAACACACTCAGCTGTAAACGTGTGAAGACAAAGTTATTTGGAGATCGGTGTAGTGGAATTGAAAGCGGGGATCGTTATCAAAACCCTGGTAAACTTAACGAGCGCTCTGAAAATCGGGATTGTCAGGACTAGCTGAAGAAACAGCGGGAAGGAACAACTCGCCAAAGGATGCAAGTATCGTAGCTTGAGAGACAGTTCACAACAATAGTATAGGATTTACACTGTACAAATTATAGAAAAATATATTTAAACTTTTTTTTGTATATGAAGTTATATTGCCGACACCCACACAGGCGGATTTAAATCCGTCACACCTATATTATTTAAGTGATTAATCAATATGGTTATGGCCTATTTATCATGAGTATAATAATGTACAATATAATATACAGTACAATCCCTCTATCTGCCTGACTATCATCAAATCTCATCATAGGAAAATCAAGAACATGCTCACATTGCAATCGGCCTGGTCACCGAAAGACATACAGGGGAAAGATTACCTGTCCATCTCTGTTAGATGTTAATGGTGATAATGAAGATGTAATTGGTAATTGAACAACTACGACATGTATGGTTTCCCATTGGTGACATTTGAATGCACCCTTAATTTAATATCAATAGTTTCAAAAACAATATAGTACTATTCTCTGTCCATTTCCTATTTACAATTAGGTTGATTTCTTCACCTGGGCTGGTTGTTCAAAAGTTGGTTAGCTCAATTATAGGTTAATGTAAAATTCAAAAGAAACCTTCCAACTCTGCTTTTACTAACTTTCTTAAGTGTGTAAAATTAATTATTCCTCTTCAGTATTGATTACTCATGAGGTGATTATCATATAACACGATAATCACCTCTTGCGTTTTTCAAAATGCCTTTTTTGTCAGTGAAAATGTTGAAGAAATCTGTCATTTACATACACAAGTCCACAAATCAACATAGTGGTTAATCCAATAGCTGATGCTAACCGTACTTTGAAGAAAAGTAGACTATTTTGAGGAAATATCATCACACAAAACGTTGTTCAGAATTTCACCTTAACTTTAGGTCCTGACGTTTGTGCAGTTTCCTTTCGACTTCTTGTACTCTTGCATGTGTATAATGCCGAGGGTGGAATGTTCTGAAATGTGATAATAAAACATAGTATTATTCCCATTTTCAGTTTTATGAAGCACATGGCCTAAATGCATCAGTTACTGTACTGCCAGCATGTATTTTACTGTAAATGCATTTATGCAATTACCTGTTGCAAAATTGACGGATTGGTCGTTTGACCATTCACCACCCTCTGTTCTCCAAAGAAGTTTTCCAGCTTGTCCTGGTTTGTGTGGCAAACTAAAACAGTTGATCCGGGATACATTTTGAACAGCGTTCTGCAGTATACTTTGAACAGCGTTCTGCAGTACACTTTGAATCCGGTGATCATGGAGTACATATCAAATTTCGTTTTATCTGATAGAAACATTTTTCGTTTCTCCTTAAGTGTCACATCGGAGGTGTTCATAGCCCGAGTCTCCCACCTTTCCAACCACATCTGGCATTGCTCATTTTCCGAAAAACGTTCATCTTCTGTAGATCTATGCATATGTTGAAGGCAGAAACAGAATAAGTAAAATGGAATTGAAACCTCACTGCTATTGCACTCATGAGCAGGGAGACTTTCATAACAATTAACTGTTTGTGACAGATACTTATTAGCATGTACAGTTGAGTACATGATTAGCATGGAAGTATTTGTCACAAAATATTAGAGAAAGCAAATCATCAATTCTTGGAAGGAAAATTGCTAACCATCACTATGAAAACTTGTTATGGATATAGTTGTAAATAGTATTATATTAACTTAAATTCCTCTTTCTTTTTCATATTTGCATGCATTATTTCTAAATACCATCTAAATAATACATTTTCGTAATTTTACTGTAATTTTACAAGCCCATTGTGGAAACCAGCTTTATAAATATAGGTGGGCTGGTACCTTTAGAACTTCTACCATTCGCTTTCCAAGGACATCATCAGCGAGGTAATTGCGCATTTTTCCAGCACTTCCTGGATCAAAATGCTGGGGAGTTAAGTGCTTGAATGTTTGAATTGGGTTGTACTCAACACGTCATACAAGTACGCATTTTTCAAATGGGCCCAGAGAATCTCTTTGCCATCAAGTTTGAAATGCCATGGAGTTTTACCGCTTGTACTTTTCAACACATTGTTCCTAACCTTTTTGAAGTTGTGCTAAAAATAGAAATTTGAAATAATTCATTTACCTGAAGTCAGCTGCCAATCCTTTGTAAAAGTGAAATTAATAACCATTATAAGCTGCTTGCAACTTGCACTAACTTTTACTAATCTTCTAAGATTGTTTAATGCATAGTTCAAACATTGTGCATCAATAAAAAACACACCCTTTTAAAACAGGACAAAGAACAGACTAAATTACTACAATAGGTTATGGCAAACCTGGAAGGATGGTGTGGTTTTTGGTGTGAAGTTTCACTTCACACTATTGTGATGGCTTGCGAATTCACACAAATCAGTCAGTCAAACAGTCAGTCAGTCATAGAGTAAACTTTCCGGGGGGTGTATACTATTTATGTTCGTAGTGATTTATTGTACTTAGTCAGTACTTTGAAGGTTATTTAGGCAATTTCAGTTAACTTATTTACATATTCTGTTATCCTTTTGCCAAGTTCACAAAAATATCGAGGAATCGCTTTCGTTATTGTAATTTTTTGTAAATTTTAGAACATTCGCTTCACATGTTGTGTAAAGGATCTTTACCCCGGAACACCCGATTTTTTCTTTAGTAGCGCAAATGCGCATGCGCTATCAAGCCGTAGATCACGATGGCGTGACGATATGCTAAGAAGGGGTGACAGTGTTGTTTTCAGATGTATAAAGATTTCAGACGTGAATATTGAGTAAATCTTTGAAAATCTACGCAATATATAAATTGATCTTATGCATTACGGGCGTTCAATTAAGTGTCGATAATATTTAGACGGTATATTCATTATACAGAGCTAGGAAGGAGCTAGACCGCCTAGACAGTGCAGTCAAGTGTGTAAACATTTCAGACGTAAATATTGAGTCGAATATCTTGATTCTAGGCATTCATTTGAGTGCCGATATTATTTTCACGGTATTCTCATTATACAGAGGTACAGTACGTGCAGGCAGAAGCGAGACAGTGTTGTTTTCAAGTATATAAACATTTCAGACATGAATATTGAGAAAATCTTTGAGATTCTACGCAATAATAGTAATACAGAGTCAGAGCTCCTTGTATAAATAAGAAAGACGAGGAGATAGCCAACGTGTTTATGTGTTATCGCCAACGTGTTATCGCTAATCGCTTAATTGGCTCGCCAACAAGCTTTATGCAATAGAAGAAAAAAGCAAGGAGGTACATGTAGCCAACGTGTACATTCACGGACCGTGTCTTTGTTTACTGTCTAGTGTCTAGCACAACGCCGTTGTCAACGGTGCAAACTCGTATTCAGTGCAACGACAACTCTACCAGATCTTACGAGAATCAATCTGTAGTATTCTGTACACAGAACTGTATCAAAGCTTGTCAAAAATGTTTTAAACTCTGCTATAACTCTGAAACTATTGAAATCTAAAGTGATATTTATATTCAACACATGCGAAAAGCTGAAAATAGACACACGTCACACTGGGAAAAGTCAAAGGTCAATGAAACTTGTTATTGTGAAACATGTCACAATTAAGTTAAAATGCGGAAGCGGATGGAGCGGATCCACGGAACGGATATGCGGATAAAATACGGAACGGATGAGGATAAATGCGTCTTTTAATGATGTAACGACGTAGTGCTTATTATTCATAACATATCTTATACAGCTATTTCAATTATAGTTTATTAGATAAATTTAGCATAGCAGTAGCCTCGTGGGGATGCTTTCAGCGACAGCTGCAAATGCAAATGAAAATTTAGAATATGCAAAATTTGGTTGTTGGTGACACAATAAATAGATGAATTGCATCAGTTTCACAAGGCACGTTTCTGATGTGTTAGGCTTGTTTCAAACGTCACGCTACTCGTGTGCCGAGCGTATTAAAAGCAATAAATAATGAGATGAAATGCCTTTGGTAACTGTTTATTTCGTAGTGTAAGCCATCAAGCTTTTCTAGGTTGTCGGCGACCCTATATAGTTCTTGCAGTGTCTTTTTAAATTTGAAACTTCACGCTATCCTTGGATCCCTAGTTTATATATATAGCTTCTTTCGGTACGTATAATGTAGAATGATGAAAAAAATTTCTCGAACTCAAAATTTGTGAACCAGGGAGGGGGGTGTCTTTTCCAACAAACTAAAAATGGCTCGCGCACAAAATTTAAAAGTTGTAATCATATTTTGAGTTAATAGATGGAAAATTTGTTGGGTTTT